AAGTGCGTAGTTGCAACGTCGGAGGGAAGGGAGTCCGTTGTTAAGATGCCAACCCAGGTGACACCTGCCCTGCTCTTATTAAAGCGAGACCAACAGGTCAGGACTGCCATTTCTTTTGACATTTTTAAAAAAAATCAAATTACCAAACCAAATCCTAATCCTATCTTAAAACACATTTAAATTATTTATGTTATCTTACATTTAGAAATATGTTTCTTTTATTATAACAGGCCTCACTAATAAAATTACTTACCAAATTGGAAAGACCATTTTCTTAGATGGAAAAGTAAAATGTTTAACATATTTTAATAATAAAACTTAGCTCTTCTATTATTACACTCAGAGAATCATGAATATGTAAATTTAAAGCTTTTTTTTTTTATAATTTTTTTTTTTTTCCCCTAAAGCCCCAGGCGATAGTTGTATGTCATAGTTGCACATTCTTCTAGTTGCTGTATGTGGGACGCGGCCTCAGCATGGCCGGAGAAGCAGTGCGTCTGTGTGCGCCCGGGATCCGAACCCGGGCCGCCTGCATCGGAGCGCACGCACTTAACCGCTAAGCCACGGGGCCGGCCCCTGAATATGTAAATTTAAACTAAAACCTTCAGAGCCTTACCCCGGGGCACACTTACAAGAACTTTAGAAGCAGCTAAAAGGCACCTCTCCTTGTAACTACACTAGCTACAGAAGATTGGAAAGGCAAGCATGCTGGTAGAGAATATAAAAATTCTATCTTTTTCAACAGAGGAACAATGTATTTACTGACCCTAATTTCAACTTACTTAAGAAAATCAAATATTTGTTCTGAAATTAAAAAATGAATAAGATGTATAAAATCTTTCTGCTATGAAACTCACATACAGAGAACCATCCTCATCTTCTGCCTTATCGACAGAACTCTCATTTTGTCCTTGGCAGCAAATGTCCAGTTAAAACTCTGAAGCTAGAGATGCAAAGAAGCGATGTCGGTGGCCAATGAAATTTAGCAGCAGTCTACTAGATGGGGCTCAGCAAAGCTAAAAAACATAAGAAGTGCCACATTCAGCTGGCACATGCCTTTTGCCTTCGCCCTCCACCCTCCATAGTGTCCAGTGGCATGCATGAAGATGTGCGAGCCCTGTGGGCAGTGTGTAGGAGAAACCCTTGCTCTAAAGATTGGCAGAACAACCCCCAAGGGGCCTGGGAGACAGAGGCCAGGGCTGCTGGCTGCATCCACTCAGAGCTGTCTGATTTCTGTCTGTCTGCTCGTTAAGTGAGAAAAATGTTTCTTATGCTACTGCGGCTTGGCTTTCTATTTTCTGTTTCTTATAAATGAAGTCAATTCCCGGGCCGGCTCCGTGGCTTAGCGGTTAAGTGCGCGCGCTCTGATGCTGGCGGCCCGGGTTCGGATCCCGGGCGCGCCCCGAGGCACCACTTCTCCGTCCAACGCGAGGCCGAGTCCCACGTACAGCAACTAGAAGGATGTGAACCTATGACATGCAACTATCTACTGGGGCTTTGGGGGGAAAAAATGAATAAATAAATAAAAATCTTTAAATGAAGTCAATTCCCAATGATACAGGAGTCTGAGTAAAATTCCCTTACTTCCATCTTTGGGGGGTTTCCTTCTGTAGGTAAAGACCTGCCATTTTCAGGCTGATATGTATTGTTCAGGGTTTGGGATTTGCGTTTCCCTGTCGTCTACACACTTGTAAGAGGAAGATTCAGAAGCACTTGATACGAAACAGTCCTGACACACACATTTGAGTTCATAATGCCATCAACCGAATGCCTGTTTTCTACTAAGCAGGTCACACTGTTGATAAATGGTGAAGCTCTCAGTTCCCCTTGATTTTTACCACGTGGTTCGTGCTTTCTCTACATCCGATGCTGAACACAGACCCGCATCTCCCTTCCTACCCACTCAGCCATGCCACTAAACACAGAGCTTTGGGAGCAGGAGGTTCAGTACACACTTGAGTGCTAGACTGCTGCTCGGGTGGCGAGTCTTCCTTACCGTAAGTAGCGTTCTTATCCACACCCTGCCACGGCCTCATGGTGGGTACATGCCTCTCCCTGCCTTGTGACTTGCTCTGAACCATGTGATGGGCTCTAGCCAGGAGACGTGAGCAGACAGATCACAAGCTGAGGCTTATCACCCTGTTCTTCAGCCACAGCTACACAGAGAACATGCCCCCAAGGGCCCACTAGTCCCAGGAGGATGAGAGACTGGAGAGACCTGTGCCCAGCATGAGGCAGAGACGCTAGTCAAGCCGAGCCCAGGTGAGACTGGCCAACCTTGCCAACACAGAGAACAGGAACAAGAATAAACCAGGGTTGTTTTAGACATGAAGTTTTTGGGTGGCTTGTTCACAGCATTACAGTACAAAATGGCTAACAACTTTTTAGAATGAAGAAACACTAAAAATGACTAAATATCTAATTAGTCAAAAATGCCTTTCAAATTTTGGTCTATAGTAGTATTACGTGAGTAGGGAGAAAATCATCATCACTATCATCACCATCACCATCATCATCATCACCATCATCACCACCATCATCATCATCATCATCATCACCAGCACCACCCTCATCACGACTATCAGCATCATCAAGATCATCATCAGCATCACCATCATCATCATCATCATTTCCATCACCACCATGATCACCATCATCACCACCATCATCACCACCATCATCATCATCATCACCACCACCACCACCACCACCATCCTCATCACCACTATCAGCATCATCACTATCATCATCACCATCACCATCGTCATCATCATTTCCATCACCACCATGATCACCATCACCACCATCATCATCACCACCACCAGCACCATCCTCATCACCACTATCAGCATCATCACCATCATCATCATTATCATCACACCATCACCATCATCACCACCACCATCATCACCATCATCATCATCATCATCATCATCATCATCATCATCATTCCCGTCACCATTACCACCATCATCACAGGCCCCTGAGTTTAGTGCTGCAAACATTCTTACTTTCTTTCTGGAGTAGCTTTGTTGTTTGCATGATTTCTTTGTCCACTTGGCAGTTTATGATTACATCAGTCATTTCTGCACATTGATTCCAAAAAAACTGACACTTTTCACCTTAATAACTTAACAAAATTCTAGGTGTGACATTCATGGGCCTGATTTATGAGTTGGTCAGTATACTTTTAAAAAATGTCCAACTTGGAGATTTTTGACAAGGATGAAGGATGATTTTTGACAAGGATTTAAATATGAGGAGAGAAGGGGAGAGTTTGGGGAGGGAGGCATCTATCACTAAAAACAGCTGCACCAGGTAAGTAAGGGAAACAAATTTCTGTTTTAGATTTGAAATCTTAATACTCTGAATAAGAAACATCTGCTCCAGCCCGAGTGCATTGGCTCACTGCCTCCCCAACTCCGTCTTGCCCCTCCTGCTCTCCTGCCCCTTATTCAAGCTCTTTTAGCCTCCTCGGACCCCTTGTCCTCTCCTACCTGCTTCAGAACCCAGCCCAAGCCCCATCCCCTGGGGGAGTGTTTCCTGACAGCTGCCTTTCTCCTAACTCCATTTTCAGTATCATCTTTACTGCCTGATTGACATGCTAGATCAAGTTTTACAAAGATCACTCCTTTCTGAGTAAAGAAAAAATTGTGCAGAAGGGGATTTACCAGAAGGGAGTAGAGGATCCTGGAGGAAGCCTGACCAGTTAAGAAGCTACTGCAATGGTCAAAGTGAAACATAATGAGGGCATAACCAAGGACAGGACACTGGGTCTGGAGACTGGGGCAGAGAAAAAGAGAAGTGGCATGCTTACGGTTCCTAGTTGTGTACCTCAGCGAATAGCATTAGCTTTAATCAAAATAAGAACCTTTTTTGTTTCCTCTGTAGTCTGCCATAGCATCTGGCACCCTGAGAAGTATTCACAGTTAGTACTTAGTGAGTGAGCGACTGTTTCACGTAATAAGGGCAAACACTAGACCATTTGTGCCAGGCCCTAAGCACTTGGCATATAATAACTCGTACCATCTTCACCCCGGAGCTGCACACCACCATCACCCCTGTTGTCCAGAGCAGGAATCGGAAGCACAAAAAGGTGAAGTAACTTGTCCAAAGTCACAAGCCTAAAGGGGCAGAGCCAGGACTCAAGTTCATTCCCACCCAGAATGCTGTTGCCTTGGCCTCCCTGATGGTAGGTACCCTTAAAATTAAGCAATTGTAAAACTCTGTATTTAGCTGGAAAGAAAGGACTAAGTACAGTTTTGATAGCATATTTTATTTTAATCTAAGAAAAATGATTAAATTCAAAGTTCAGAAATATAAAAGATTATCCAATAAATTTAGGATCATAACTATTTCTTAAACAATGATAACACATACTTGAGCTGGCTTCCTGGCCCCAAAGTTTTGGTTTTTACTTTTGCACATTTAAATAAGCAAGAAGCCTCATAAAATATCTTCATGCATATTCACAGAGATCACTTTACATGACATGTGTTGGGGATTTGGGGCCATGAAGATTTCTTTTTCCAACCAAAAGTCAGAGCCAAGATAGCATCACAAGTCGCCACACACAGCTCTTGGACCGTCCTCCAGATGGCTCCACAGAGCCACTGGGCTCTCACCAGTGTGTGGGTCTGGCTCTGAGAGTGTCAGCTGGTTGCACACATAGGCCAGTTCTGTGGCTCACAGCATGGGCATTCAGTTCCTGACCTTCTCCCACGAGTACCACTCAAATGAATTTCCCATTGGCAAGTCCCATGCCCCAGAGGCATTCAGAAAAGAAGAAAAACACAGACCTACAGGCACTCTCCCTGGCTGCCAACACCAACACACGGGCCACAGCTTATCCTGGCTGTTCCTTCTTTAGGGAGACTGTCCTTAATTTGTTCAGGTGATAATTTTACCTTCCAGTGGGCCCCAGGGGGACCACGGCAGGATGGGTAATGGCCAGGTGTAAGAGAAAAAACAGGGTAGACAAGCATGTTTAGCTGGCTTGGCCACACCATGATTAAATCTACTTTTCTGAACAATGGGCCCCTTTACGCTGCCTCAGGACAGCAGGTACGATTCTCGAGCATTTTCCTACATGATTAATCTGAGCTCAAGGAAAAGCGCAAACAGAAGCTTGAAACAGAAAAGCAGGCACATCAAAGATAGTCTGAAAAACAGTCTTTTCTACCAGGGCACTAGCTGTAAAGATGGCTTTAGTGGTTGGGTAACTCAATGCATGAGCGAGATCTCTGGAAAGCAAAACTAACACAAAATCCCAAGAAACAAACAAATCCATGCACTTGTTAATTGCGTGATGAGGACAGCAGTAGATTGCTAACGTCTACGGAATCGTAAAGCTTCCGACAAGGAAGCAGCAACGCTGCAAGTACAGTAGATTTCAAAGGAAGCAAACTGGGCATGACTAGAGGTGACTGCACAGTTAGGAAGAAAGGCAGAGGACTGGAACCAAAGTGCCCCAGGTTAAGGTTTCTATGTTAACATGTGTAGGATGAAGAAACGAAGCTTAAATCCATTCAAGACAAATCTCCACCAAGGACAGATTTCGAAGGTCAAAAGAGGACACATACATTGTATGTGATTAATTTTCTGAAGCCAGCCCTTCCATTTTCACAGATTAAAGCAGTCTGTTTAAATATCTCATTTCTACAAAGTGAATTTACATTTAAAGTACAAAGTGCAAATACTATGTGTTTTTGGTTTTGTTTTTTAATTGCTTTTTGGGGAGGGAGTCTCCCACATGTCTAGGAACTGCCTCGGATGTGGGAGCCACTTATCCTTGCTTCCGTGGCTGAAAAAAAAGACAAAGAGAGACATTTTGAGAAGTTTGCATCTCGCACGCCTGAAGAATAAGGCTCGCTTTCTAGGAATGAAATAAGCCTATCTGGCAACAACAAGAAGAAAAGCAATATTTTAAAATAGACGTGAAAAGAATCAGTGGTAGGGTGATCATTTGTGTAAGGATTAATAAAAAACAATGAAAACATTTTTAATTTCTTAACTTCTAATGCGTTTCTCCCTTTAAATGATTGGAAATATCAGGAAAACTGATATTCGTTGAGAAAACTAGCATTCACTTCAAATATTGTGAGTAGACTAAATACATTAAATGTTCTGCAGAATCTCCTATCACCTTGGATTTATTATACAAAAATAGTTTTCGTGATCTAATTTATGCTTCAAAATTGATATAGGCATACTTTTTTTTTAATTTTTCTTTTCATCCTTTCCATTGACTATGTTACTTCTTTAAGAAGAAATGAAACTTGAAAAGTTTGTTTACCAAAACACTGGAATTTTGCACCCTGGCTGCCAATTAAAAATAATTTAGAATGAAAAGTAAAAGCAATATATCTTCTAGATTTATTTTTCCAAGTGCATCAATCCTGACCAATATAAGTTGCTCCATGTCTCTGTTTCATTATTTAAAATAATCAAACTTTAACATTTAGGAGGTTTCTGGGATGGTTTTTATCCCCTTGATGAATATATGAGTAGGTGGTGAGAAGAGAGAATGTATCTCTTGCATTGAGCTAATCAGAAGTTTTGCTTTAATTAGTTATGGATTAAAATAAGCCATCAGTGTATTTCACCAGTTACTAAAGCTAGTCAGAACTGTTGGAGTAGAAGATGGGACTAACATTTTAACCTATATCAACACCAGCTTGATAGTACGGCTCTGATCTCTTCTGAATCATGATGGAAACTGGAGAAGAGACCGAGAAAGCTCACTTTTTGATTAAATATTAGCTTCATGCAACCTCCCATCTTCCCTTCATTTAATATTTCTTGTCTGTGGTTATTCACATAATGAAAGATTTTGGTGGTTGGTACTATTTTATTCTTCACAGAAATATTTATGGTCTTCAATTATTACATCACGTGCAAGCCACAGCTGGCATACGCATTAGGACTTCGTCCAGGCTCTTAGTTTGCAGTGATAGCCACTGAAATCCTGGCATGGACATCAGTTTATACACTCAGATATCATAAAAACAGCTGGACAAACTGCTCTAGTCCCTTTTTCCAGGAAAAAGCTGCAGAGCGAGGCTCGTTTTTTGAACTGAGTTTATTTAAGATTGACTGCAACACACGTGCACCAACCATCATCCTCGTCTAATGAAAACAACCCTCTGGACGTCTTTGGGGCTCAGCAAGGGTAATTGCTTTCAGACCAGCCCTGTTCTCAAGTGTAAGTGATTTGCGGTGGGATTTAAGAAGTTAAAACCATAAACATTTGCTAAACAAAGAAGACCATATCACACATCTTTCCTAATGAAATGGTTTTAAATTACACCCAAGGTGTGCGTTTGAGGTCTCCACTTAAAACCCACAACAAATACAGGGGTTGGCCTTAGGAAATGTCGACCTGATGAAGACAAAATAAAGAACAAATTGACGAGTGGTTGTAAGAAAGGAGGATTTTTGCCCTGGCTTTGAGGGAGGGAGAGATCAATCCACTCATGTTTATCTTCTGGAAGATATTCTAGCCTTTGGATAGGTTGTGGCCTGGAATGCTGGGGAGAGACACCACAATGGTCTCCTCTAACTCACACATGGAGACACTGACTCCGAAACACAGAAATGCGTTTATAAACACCCAGCAGGAATCTGGAAATTCCTTTCAGAGCCAGCAATTTGTCTGTTAGGATCCTTAGATGAAAAGAGAGCATTCACCTGAACACCCAGAGGGGTCTCCTGTCCCTGCAATCTCCTTAACAAAACGTAAGAAAAAATTACAAACCCTGGAGAATTGTTTAAAAACAACCATTTCCACAAAGCAAGGGGACTCAGAATTTTTTCTAAAAATAATACAATAGTACAAAAAAAAAATTGAAGCAAAGTCTTTTAGTTGATGATTCAACAAACTGATGATTTCTGATAGAATCTTGCAAGGCTCTTTCCAGCCTCACAGGGGTGCATACACGACACATACTCTTCCGGATTGCTTCTTTTCTTGGAAGGTACTTTGCTTGACTAATCTACAGAACCCTAAATTTCTATTGCCTATGATTAAACAGCAAATTATGAAGACTAAACTACAAACATACTCACCTGTCTATTCGAAGTGCTTTCAGGGTTACCTCTAGGGGCTAGCAGGGGGAAAAAAAAAAAGATGTTATTAAAAACCAAATACTCTTCATTTAGTGAAAGGTTCAATATAATTTTTCAGGAAGGGACCAATACCACTTTAGAAAAGTGTCATCAACTGGGAAACTTGTTTACACGAGAAAACATATATCAGGCATAGATTATGAGTAGTGGATTGTAAAAGTCACAATGTAAATATTTCCTAACAACACAAATGCTCTAGTCTAACTTTAGAAAACTGATTCATTTTACGAAAATTCCAAAGGGATGTCCACTAACCGTGAAGACCTTTCTTCTCCATGTTTCTCAAACTCTCCCCGGGGGAGAGTGGATTCATGCCGCTGGGCGTCTTCAACTGAGGCCCACGGCAGTGCGCCAACACCAGTTCTTTGAAATATTTATATTTAAATCATGAGAAATTAATGTTTGCCTCCAAAATAATTTTTCCCAAATACTCAAGAAAAGTTGAAGCTCAAGAGAGATGTGAGATCTGCTATTTGTTCTGTGGCCTCAGCACGTGGCGTGTGGTGGCGGAGAGGGTGGGAGGCTGGGGCGTTGCCACCCGCATCTCGGCTTCCTTTCTCCCAGGTGGCGCTTCCTGCCACCTCTCCACGGAGACCGCCTCCGAACAGGGTCCCAACTGGCCTGCTCTTTCCTGCATCCAGTGGAGATTCCTCTGCGCCTGTCAGGAGCCACTCTTCCCTCTCTCACTGGCTTCTAGGACAACCTTCCACACTCCTGACTTTCCTCTTGCCTTCCAGCGGCCTCCCCTGGGTCTTCTCAGCTAGCTCCTCCTTTCCTTCCTGCCCACTGAAGATCGCCATCCCCAGCGAACTCCGGATGTCCTTCCTATCCATACTCACTCACTGGTGGTCCCAGCTAGCCTCACGGTTTTAAATAATATCTATTTCCTGATGACCCCCAGGGTATATATCTCCAGAATCTCCAGTTTGGACCTCTCTCCTCAATCCAGATTCTGAGATCCAATTGCATTGGTTTTTAGTAGGCAAATCAGAGGACACAGAGCCAAACTGGACTCCTTATCTTCCCTTCAAAGCCACTTCCCCTCCAGTCTTCCACTCCCAGCATACGGCAACCCCACTCTTGAGCTGCCCAGGGCAGAGGATGGGAGTCACCCATCACTCCTTGCTACTCCTACATCCCCCATCTGATCTCACAGCAATCTGTTGGCTTCACCTTAAAATCTGTCCAGAGTCCAAACACATTCCACCACCCACTGCTCCAGCCGGCCCACGCCATCACCCTCTCGCATGGACCCTACGGTAACCCTTCACCACGCTCCCTGCTTCAGCACCTCCCATCTGTGATCTGTACCAGCTCAGCAACCACAGGTGCTTTTCAGACAGGAGTCAGAATTCATCATTCCTGCTCAAGCCTTCCACGGCGTCTTGCTCGGAGCAGTCTCCTTGGCAACATCAGGGCTGCGTGCACTCCACACTTCCCTCACCTCTCCCGTCCTGCTTGCTCCTCCTGTCCATCCTGATGTCTCACCACTCCTGGCCTCACTGGGCACCCTGCTCACTGCCCCGCTCTCCCCTCGGCAGGCCGCTCCCCACTCGACACCTGCTCAGCTCCCTTCTACACCTCCTGCAAGCCTCGACTTCCTCACCTCAAGGAGATGCCTCTCCTGGCCCATCCCTCCATCTAAGATCCCAGCCCTCCTCTCCCTACACTTCCTTAGGACGCATCACCCATTAGCCTATGGATTTTTCTTATTTATCTTATTTCTTGCTTCCATATCAAATGTAAGCTCTAAAAGGACGTGAGCTTTTCTGTTTTATTTACTGTCATTTTGCCAATGTTTAGAGCAAGGAGCACTCAATAATATCTTTTTAAGGACTCTGTAGATGGAGGGCAGCATTCTTCATCCCAAATGCCTCAATTAATGGTTGATTTCTATCTACTTGATAACACAAATTCTGAGTAAACAGTCAAAATATTCTGTTTTCAAGCTCTATCTTCTCTTGCTCTATTAAAGCAAACAGAAACACATCATGAAAAGTTGAAACGAATGTGTTCAGTAAATTGCAAAAACGTTAAATAAACAGTAGCTAAATTGGCTATTTTTTCAATTGTAGGCATTAACGATCCAAGTATCAGGATAACTGCTGCGACTCTCCACTCTGCTTCCTGAAATGACTACTTGCAAGCAGAAGTAGGCCTTGGGGCTATTGCTTTGAATTTAAAGAATATCAGAGCGATGCTTCGAATTTATTCTAAACCAATTTAGCCATTCAACTATTGCCAGGTTCTTTTTTTTGGTTCTTTTACGGTAAATATTGGTCTCCCTGGTAATTAGAGGTAGTTATAGATTAAAGGCAAGTTCCAGTAAGAAAAAAATTAATATTCTTAAGTCTAAGAAAAGAAAAACCTTGCTATGTAGATGCAGAGTATGAATTTCATTAATGCCACCTGGTGGAATATTCCATTCAAGATACAGTAGGGAAAACAGTATTTAAAATACAAAAGAACAGGAAAATTATCAAGTGTTAATTTTAATGGAGCAGAATGTACATTATGAAAATAAATATGAAGCAACACCACATCAATAAAAATACTTTTCAATGAGACTATGAGAGAGAGAAAAGGACTGTATTTCATAACCACCTAACAGCGTTAGTTCAGGAACAGTGAAGAGAGTTTACATCATCGCTATCAAATGATATTGATTGCTTCCAGGTGACTGGCAAACAACATTTTGACTGTAAGGCAATATGTCTGAAAGAAATATAGCTAGCATGGCAATTTGGTTGAAAAAGGTAATTTGGTCAAAAATAAATGTTTCCTAATTGCTGAGTTTCCGTGTAATGGTCATTTTGGAGAATCATGAGGGCATGATATAATCTCTTGTGAATTTTTTTATGAATTCTTTGGAAATATTTCCTTTCTTGGCTTTATCATTTCTCAATCATTTTCAGATAATTATTTCTTTGCTGCATTTTTTGGAATAGTGAAAATTTAGAGCAAACAAACTTTCCAAAAATATGTATTAGTTGCAATCATTTAAATGCAAAATCTGAGTAATTGCTTAAAATAAATGTGATTAGTTTAGAAAGTATGTATGTTATGATCTCATTTTGTAGTGAAAAATCGTAGTATGTATATGTGAACATGTGTATATATGCATAGAAATATTTTTGGAAAGATATGGATCTAGGTCTGATTATGTCTAAGAAGAAAGGGTCATATGTTATGTTCTTTATTTGATTTCTCATATTTTTTAGAATAAAAAAATACATTGGTGAAAAGTGAGCAAAACTAAAGGAAATGAAAAAAAAAACAGTAATGGTTTGGATATTTAGACTGTTCCAACAAACCCCTCCTGAATATTAAGGTTTTTCTGACTTTTCACTATTTCAAACTACGCAGGGTAGGAAAAACTAAGTGATAATAAAATTGAAAAAAAAAATAGTAGGAAAAAGTTTAGAAAAATTCCTCAAGGAAAATGAAAGTGTTGCAAAATCAACTAGTTATGTATCCAAATCCCTGATGCTCACTGTTGACCAAACTGCTTCTTTTATCAAATTTTAGCTTTTTTTCGTGGGAGGCAAAATCATATGTTATCTTCTTGGTTATAAATAAAAATGAGACACCTCAGGGTCTGTCGCTGAGATAACCCTGTCGTTGAGTTGTCTCAGGGAGATGGCCAAAACACCTCCAGGGTAACAGTCTGAGGAATTCAACTGGTCCAAGAAGGTGCCTGTATTATCCTGTCTGAGTCCAGTCAATGGGACAATTCTCTTAAAAGTAGGTACATTAATCATGTTTTTATTTTCTGTGTCTGATGCATTACATTTGGGGCTTTGTTGACCCTAGAGAGATGGCCCCTCCCAGGTTTAGCCAAATCCTAGAGAGAGTAAAAACTCACTCAGGAATGTGTTTTTCAAATACAAACCAACCAATCCAGAGCCCACCCCCCAACCACCTCCTCTATGGGGCTCTCACACTCCAGGCCACTGTCCACCTGTCCTAATCACCCCAGGACCAGGTACCGGACACTAGGGGCAGCCCCTCCAGCCCAGAGCCTGCTGAAATTATTCAAACTAGCCAGTCCTAATCCTGATTACCCTGCCTAGCTGGTTCCTCCCCCAGAAACCACAACAGAGGCTCTTGCTCACGTTTCCTCTGCTCCTTCTGCCTCGTGACCAACCCTGGTGCTTCCCCATGTGGCCCTGAGTAGGGTGCTGAGCCCCCTCCTCTTGAGAACGGTGAGTAATGAACTACCTTCTCAACACAGTTGTCTCCTGATCTGTTGGGCTTACTATACCTCACATTTCTATTAATATACTATATTTTAAAACAATAGGACGCATCATCAACTAAGGCACTTGAATCAACTCAGAGGGTCGATGCTAATGCTTACAGGGAGGTGGAATTTGAGATAATTTCTGGTTAACAACAAGGGTGGCCAGGAATGTGACCCCAGAGTTGCCAGCTTCATTTCAGCTCCTGGAGCTTCCAGGTGGTGGAGGAACTTGAAATACATGGTGGTCCCTCCCCAGAGCAGAACAAGAACCACCAGCATTTCCAGGAGGACCAACTTGCTGTCTTGTTTCTTGCACAAACGGCAACATCGGCTGAGCTACTGATGGGATCCTTGAGAAGTGGCTCTTTCTTATGGCTATCCAGGCTCATCACGCAGTTACAGCTCAGGCCGCTGCCTCTGACCCAGCAGTGCTGAAACTTGGATGTTGAGATGCCCAAGAGGACTGAGGCAGCACTGTCTTCAGTGCTTGCCACAATGTCTGGAGTGTGTCTCTTCCACCTTGTTGGCTGCTGAACTTGTACTAAGATATCACACCTGCAGACACCTTCCTTGAACTCCTCAGAGTTCAGTCCCTCTCCTCAGTACACAGACAGCAGTCTGCACAAACCACCATTCCATTCTCATATTGCCTGACAATACTTTCCTTTCTTCCCAACAAATTGTGAAACCTCAGAGACTCAGCTCCTATCTCCATCCCTTAATTCACAGTAGGTATTCAACATTTTTTTTTTTTTTGGTGAGGAAGATTGGCCCTGAAGTAACGTCTGTTGCCAATCCTCCTCATCTGCTTGAGGAAGGTTCTCCCTGAGCTAACATCTGTGCTAATCTTCCTCTATTTTGTATGTGGGTCATCGCCACAGCATGGCTTGATGAGTGGTGTAGGTCCACGCCCGGGATCCGAACCTGTGAACCCCAGGCCACCGAAGCAGAGTGCACTGAACTTAACCGCTACACCACCAGGTCGGCCCCATTACTCAACATTTTTGTTGAATGAATGAATGAATGAATGATTAATACTATCTTAAGAGCAAAGCAACTCCAGAACAGAACTGAGTACTCCATCACCCACAAAATCAGAAGTCCTGTAACTGACTATGAAGCAGTGTTTTTACATCTTTCTTTTGCTGACCTGTGTGTTGTGCTGAAGCTCAGAACATTTTCACAAGCCAGTGAGAGAGCACAATTCCTAATGCCGTCAGTGCCCTACAGGGCTTCGTGCGGACGACATTGCACTAAAATGCACCAAGTCCTGAGGTTAAAACAAACTCCGTGATTAATGCTTCTGGAAATGATGGTCCACACCACGACTGCACCATGGAGAAGGACCGGAGAGCGTGGGCTTCTCTGTAGGAAACCAGAGTGCTGGGTCAGGAGGCAGTGTCTTCAGGAGGATAATCTCTGGACTGCGGTAGACTCCACCTTGACACTATCTGACGGGATCCCAGCTCCATCTCACAAGTCCACACACCCATCGCAGCTCTGGGGCCAACTGCCCTGTCTGAAAACCCGCCAAGTGCTGGACCTCATCCGCCCTCCTCCCCTACAAAGCATCTACATTTACTTTGCTGGAATTTAAGAAATTTGCAGACAGGAATGTGCCGCTAGTGAGGGACGTCTCACCGTATAACCCTCAAGCACGAGGCTGGGGCCCCGCAGGGTTTCAGGTGCTTCTCAGGACCCCAGACAACTGCCAAGAGGAGGGGTCCTTGCAAACAGACCAGCCTGCACCGTCCAGAAATGGGTGACAATTAAAAGATTAAAAAGAACAGATGCTACACTCTGCTGCGCCTGCACTTAATTTTCTCATTATAACCACAAGAACTGCGTTTTTTAGAAACTCAGAGAATGGTTTCCATAACGGAGGAAGGGCCACCCACAGCCCCTGGGCAGCTGGTGCAGGGGGGTGACACCATGGCAGTCAAGCAACAGCTGAAACAAATCATGGGGTGGATGTTCATCTCCCTCCTCATGGAACCATCAGAGCCACAGGGTGGGGGAGCCATAGTCCTCTCTCCTTCCAGCTTCTGGGGGCTGGTGGCCACCTGCTCTCCACTCGCTCCATGCTGATCCTTGGGGGCCAGAGAGCTGCCCCGAATACCTAAAGTTGCACTGGGTCACTAGTCTCCTGGGACCCTAGAGGAACGAATGTCAAAGAAAAGTGAGGGACAAGATGAGGACAGCTGTCCAGGTCCAAGTAGTCACAGGCAGCAGAAGAGAGGCACCAGAAACTGACCCCGAACAGGCACCTCAAGGAAGGATGACACGGGGGGATGGAGTCTGGGGCAATGCCTGGAATGAGCATTTTTAGTTTTTTACCCCAATGCCCACCCGGAGGGTGGCAGGGGCAGCCTGGTATGGATTAAGGAGCCCAAGAGAAAGCACAGCCTGGCAGCAACGATTCCTAATGGTTAGTCCTTGTTGTTTCGGCTGCTGTCGAGGGAAGGCTCAGACGGCACCCCAGCGACCCAGCTGTAGGACTTTGGAAACTGCACAGCACACTTGGGTGTCCTCGTCTATAAGAGGAAGTGACGACAGTGTCCGTCCTGCCGAGCCCACCACCAGCATGGCTGTGGGAATAAGAGGAACCATGGAACCTCGAGGCCGGATGGTTAAAGGAAGGCCCTGAGCCATTTGAGGCTGTGTAGCTGGGTCGTGTTACTATTTCCACAGCGTGGGGTCGGAATCGGCATGCGTCTGTGCGTGGCCTGCACTGGCAGGTCATTTCCTGTCCCCTTCCTCTCGTGGAAGGCCGGCTCCTCCCTCACTTCCTACAGACACCCAGCAGCACGCCCACATTACCACACAGAATGTCTCCCACAAGGTCGGATCTGGAAGTCTGACCCCGCTCAGAGAGCAGAAAAGATAGGCACATGCAGAATGAAGGTGAAGAGTTGCTTCAGCCAGTGAGGTGTCCTTATCATCCCACACAGTGAGCAAAGTGGGGCAGCCCCATATTTTGACACTGTTCTCTAGTCCAGACATGTTCAAGATAAATGAAGTAGAATTAGCTTCAGAGACCCTGTACAAACGTCTTCAAAATAAAGCTTAACTTTTCAGGATTAACTTCTCACAGAGAAATTAGCAAGAAGTGTTTCACAATGACACAGACCTAGCCTGGAACCCAATTCAGTTGAATAATGTTGAGTGACTCTTATGACAAGTCCTGGGGCACAGAAACACATAAGATGGAATGCAGTCACCTTCCAGAAACCCACAATCAGGGCAGCTGCAGGGGGTCCCTGTCTCACAGTTGAGGAGGGTCATCAAGAACACAATGTACCGATGCTCCAGAATCTACTCTCAAACTTGTCTTCTTTATCTAATGTGTTCCCAAAGTGCCTAATCGAACAACAGAATCGTAAAGTAACAGTGCGATGAGATCCCGGTGCATCACGGCCTCTCCAGTGCCCACATTGTACAAACGAGGAAACCAAGCACCCACTCCAAGAGAAGGGGCTTTTCCAGCATCCACACGCAGCAGCAGGCGGGCCTGTCCACGCATGGTGCCCACTGAGAATATTTGGGATCTGGCTATGGTAGGATTTTCTCTTTCTGTAACAGTTGGTTAGTCAGGCCAGGCCCACAGATAAAAATACACTCAACTGGCAAAACAGCTAAAACAATGTTTTCAACCATCAAAATCACGGGTTTGGACAACAGGAGTTATTTCACTGCTTATAAAGTGGCCTGAACATTTGGTTGGAGTCCACGTGCAGGGTTATCAAGATATTTCCAATGGTTCCCAGATTCGTGCTTCCAACCTCAGAAGGCAGAACACTTTGGAAAGTTGGCCACCACGGCCACCACAATGGAGGACTCGACTCCAGACAACACAGCTCCTCCCCTTCACTGGCTTCCTTCTGATCGGGTTACTGATGGTCTGTTATTATTTCTAGGGACAGATGACTGACAATTAAATGCCACACTGCATTTTTCCTTCACGCTCAGACCGCAGGGACAATATATACATTTCAGGAAGTCGATCAAACAGGCGTCAAGATTGACACACCACTAAGCGTGAAACAACAGAAAAGGCTCTTACTATGACGCTTCCTGGTGTTTGCTTTACCTTCTTCTTTCGTCACGCCCAGGCAGCCCATCAGCTCTTGGACGGAGATGGATTTGTCATTATTCACATCACAGTACTCAACAAACTTCTTCACACATTTTTTGGGTTTGGATTTTTTCCGAAGGAATCTCTTGAAGGGCTTGATCTCCTTTTTGCCGATGTCGCCGCTGGAATTTTTATCAAGTAGCTTGAAATACCAGTGGACCACTCTCTCCTCCAGCGTGTGGCTGGGGTCGGGTTCCGAAAGCCTGGAAGAACACACAAGGTCGTCAGGAAGGCCCAGCTGCCCAGCTGCCTCTCTGCTGCCCTCATCAGTCTATGAAGGGACTCTCTGAATGCCAATATTCTTGACGGTCCTCATGCCTAAGACTGCATGCCTTTGCCATTCAATATAGTGATTTTTTAAAATAATTTAGAAGAAAAGATTTAGCAAAGATTTTTCAAGTTGGTTTCAAAATTGCAAATAAGTGAATTTATGCATGCCAATTATGCACTTGGCGTTGGCCAAGCCCTTGTGGACAAAAGCCCCCTTGTTTGTCCGGGTCCTGTGCTCGTTGGGGTTGGGGTCAGCTCACACATCCACACCCTCCTAAGAAACACTAGGATGATGAGGTTCTCTACTCCTTTAAATGTGATTCATTGGCATGTCATTTATGTCATAGGTACACTGAAAAATGCAAAGAAAAATATACCTTAAAGTAGAAACTAGATGTTTTCCCTCGGGCTAAAAAAAAAACTTTGATATTTTCAGATAAAAATAAATAAACACTCCTCTAGACAGCCTAGATTTGAATCAGATCTTTGAAACTGCCCCAAATGCTAAAATGTGCTTTCTCACTGAGTGGAAGATGAAGGACAGCATGTTCGAGGATTTACTCGTCCTTCCCTCATTGGTTGTCGGCCTGTACATCCCCTAGCATGGATGAGCCTGGGTTCCCACCAGTGAGAAGAGAGTGTAAAGTCCACAGGAATTAGGGCTCTCTGATGCTACTGAATATTTTCAAATTTTCAGAGGAGCTGCTCAGATAGCAAGTCATATACTGCTTTCAATTTTGGTTTTTCAGATAAAAGCAATCTTTCCAAGAATATAAGCTGTCAATTTGAAATTGAGATGATTTTTTTGCTTTACTGAGTTTAATTTACTGCTTGATTGTAATTTTCCATTGGCATAGTCCTTTGTTTTTTTTTCCTTCTTGAATCTCATTCTTAAGCAAAGAGACAGAGAGCAGAGAACCCTCTAGCTAAGGAGACCAGAAAGCTTTAAAGCATCCAGAAGAGATAAGGTAATCAAGGGTTTAGGGGCAGAAGGGCAAGAAGGCCAGTGCTCTAAGGAAATAAAGACAGATTCTCCATCAGAACAAGTTATTGAAAATAAAGAGATAAATTATTGCTATTTCTCAGGGGGATCCAATGCCTGAAGCATCATATCCATATCCAAACACTGGGAGCTGCCCTCCTGCTGGCAGTTAGCTGCAAAGACAGAGAAGAGCTTCAGGAGTTTACAGAAGTATCTTAGGAAGCAATGAAATCTCAAAGCCTCAGACTCAGAAGTGCAGTATGTCGACCACACACTCAGAGAATGCTTCCCGAGTTGCAGAAATCCTATTCCGAATAGTGTCAGTTCAATTAATGCCACTGAATTGTACACTTGAAAACAGCTAATATGGTAAATTTTATGCTATGTATATTTTACAGTAAATAAATCATATTTTGAGAACTTTAAATTGAATATTGTAATTCAAAGTACGTAAAATCCAGTCAATAGCTCTAAAATGCAATTCCAAAGCGTAAAGCCATCTGAACTAGGGGTTTCCCTTCCGTTTCTCTCCTCCCTCCCACCTTCCCCACCGCTGCCTGATGGAACCATTGAAAATCCCAAGTTCTGGGCCTCTTCCCATTACGAACACCTCCGCAGGGGTTTAATTGAGTTACAAGAAAAACCTGCTAATCAAATCAACTCTGAACGCAGGAATCCACGTCACGTTTTGGGAGAGGACCCCTTTCTTGTGAGGCCTGCGGTGCCCAGAAGTGCTGACCAGGTCTCGACCATCTAAAGGCTAGACTTTGACTTCTAGCTTTCCAGGGTTCCTCAAATTACTGGGCCTTTTTCCCAGCTCCCTGCTCTGTGGTCACAGGCAACGCACCTGCTGGAGGAGGAGGGATCCGAGACCGCGTGGACCATGTCGGTAGACAGTGCGTCCAGAATGCTCGTTAGAAACTCATTCTTTTTGGCCCCAGGACAACCTGAAAAAAAATAAAGCATGTACATTTTTTTCATATTTCATAGAACTCACAGAGTGTAACAGATTTTTCTCTGTAATGGAAAGAAATGTTTTAATATTTGAAAATTAGTAGGTTGGGCTACCTTGATATTAACAAACTCAGTTGAACCCTTGCAAGCACATTACTATATATATATAGATTGTGAACCACAGTTATTGTAAATTACAATATCTAACACTTACAGAATTACTACATGAGACTAAGAGATTCACAGGCATTATTATCTCACTGATCTTCAAAGCAGGCATCCCAGGTAGGTGGTATAACTATACTACATATGAAGCCTCTGATGCTTAGAAACATCCCAGGATCCTGGTGCTGGGGAACGACAGGGCTGGAGTCCTATCCAGGTAAGCCTGAGTCTAGAGGACGCACAGGGTCACGAGTAATTGAGTTTATATGAAGCTTAACATTCTACACTATACTATACCCACAGGACATCATTGAGTTGCCAGCCCCACCTTTCCCCTCTTACTCACACCCACTCGGAATTCCCCAACTCCCCTCGGCCCTCCACGCCCAAAACACTCTTCCCCCCACATCTCAGGAGGACAAAGCAAAGGGATGCAGCACCAGGCGTGTCCTCTCTGACTCGAGAGGCAGGAAGAATGTGCGGCCTGGATGGTATGGAGGTCCTCTGTTCCGGCAGCCACGTCACTCAAAGTACAACACATTTACACAGTTACAGACTCTCTGGTTTGCAGAAATTTCTTTTTGATACTTGAGCTTTTTGTTATTATTATTCAAGCACATGTTAGTTGCCTATAGCAGGAATCCATTTACGCCAGTTTCCACTTCATTAAATACACAAATCAGAAAACAGATGTGAATCCTCACAGGGGCGGGGGAGTGGAAGCTGACAGGGAAAAAGCTGTGTTATTCCTCTTTGAGTACAACTGGAAAAGTAGATTATAATCTATGTGGAAAACAAAAACACAACCATTAGGAGAACGCTACTTTTCAAGAAAAAATAATTATCTCATTAACTGTTCCCTTGGGAAGAAATAGAAGATGGGAGGCCTCAGGTGTGTCTCGGATGATCAGTGTCACCGGGGGACTCCTGCAGCCCCGCCCTCTGGCTCTGAGAGGACAGCAGCCCTTGTGATGGCAATGCTGACCACTAAGAGGAACAGAACAACCACAGGCAGCTAGGAAAGTGCCTCCAGGCGTCGTGCCGAGGAACATGGTGGAGGAAGCCCTGCTTGGCAGCTGACTCCAGGAGAACATCTGCAGCCCATGACAGGCGCCAACGGGCAGGTATGTCCCGGGGTACGCACAACCCCAGCCCCAATGCCAGGGACCTGCTGTTCCACAGAGATCCTCAGAGAAGAACTTGTAGATGAAGACAAACATGAGTGTCTGGGAAAAGGCTTAGCCTATTAATTCTCAATACTGAGCAGCTCGAAGAAAGAATTATGCTTATATGTTATGTGGTTAGTCTGACTTCAGTGCAGATCTATCCAGGTTATATTTAATCATATCCCCCCAAATGAGGCAAAGCAACACAGTATATTTAATTAAAAAATGATACATATTCCTCATGAAACACAAAACTAATGGCATATAAAAGCTTTAGAAGACTTTAATGCAAAAAGAAAAAGAAATTAACATAAAAAGTTTACTCCTAGAACAAGCAATATTGAATCAATCCTGCTGAAGTATTTGTTTGCTGTGGTATGAATTACAGACTGAAACGCACAGATCTTCCTGCTAAGGATTTTATTTCGCAGTTGAGTGGCACTTCAGATAAAAAATAATAATAGTTTTCATTTTTACTTGCAAAGATTGAACATTTTGAGTAAAGAAAAGGAAAAAACGATTTGGGCTCAGAAAGACAAAGCTGCCCTGTTTCGAAGCCCAGCCTCAGAGCGGGCGATTTCCATTCCACACTTCGTGGATACGTAAACTTTGGTTTGAATAACCAGGGATAACATGCATGAAGTCCACTTGCCAATGGGAAATTCGGGTTACAGCGTTTCGTTGGCTCAACAAACGTTTGCTGAGACCCAGGAGAAGGTCCTGGGATCTGGTGGTGAACAATGGAATGGATCAAGTGTGAATGTCCTTATGTCCTCACATTGGTGGACAGGACAACAGAGACGCTGATTTACTTCAGACTTTGAGAAATACGGCTGTTGGAGTTCTAAGGACAACCACTAATGAGATGCGAGTAGCCTGTGTCATTTCCCAATAAGTAGTGAGAGTACTTGGGGAGGGTGGTGGCATTATTGTGATGAGCATTCCAGGAAAACAGTCCCTGTGTGTCAAGGGTCGGGGGCGGGAGTCGAGGTCAGGTGGACTTGAGGCTGGAGGTGTTGAAAAGGAGGTCAGAGAAAGGAACCTAGACCCTGTTTACTTATCTCCATCTTAGCTCGTGTCACATTATTTAATGAACAGTTTTGAGAGGACCTTCCTGATGGGAGTAGGAGATTCCTTGCCACATATAATGTTTGTCCCAGCACGACAGGTGATTGTACTTCACAGCTATTTCTGAGGGAAAACGTCAAATAAAAACTTAAATGAGAAGAAATTAGAAGAAAGAAAAATAAAGAACTCATCATTAAGAAGTGAATTTGGGGCCGGCCCAGTGGCATAGTAGTTAAGCTCGTGTGCTCCACTTCAGCGGCCCGGGGTTCGCAGTTTGGATCCCCGGCGTGGACCTACACACTGCTTATCAAGCCATGCTGTGGCTGTGTCCCACATACAAAATAGAGGAAAGCTGGCACAGATGTTAGCTCAGGGACAATCTTCCTGAGCAAAAAAGAGGAAGATTGGCAATAGATGTGTTAGTTCCGGGCCAATCTTCCTTGCCAAAACAAAAAGTGAACTTTCATTATATGAGAAATGACAGAAGTACCATGAAATCAAAATTTCATCACCATGAAACAGACCAGGTCTTGCAAATGTACAAGAGGAACAACAAGGCTTGAAGTGAAAGAGAACTCACCCCAAACAGCTGAGGTTTTCCCACAGTGAAGCACAGAGAACATTCAACCCCTCCCCATAATCCCCCCGCCTGCAGAGACAGCTTCAGGAGCACTGGTGATGGCAAAGGGCTCTGTCCTTCCCAGGCGGCCGTGCCCGGACCCTGCCTCGTGGGCCCCAGAGCCATCCTGGGTCCTGGGTTGGCGTGTGGTGAGTCCTTCACCCTCGGGAAGGGGCAGCCTCGTGCTGACAGGGAAACCCCAGGAGCCGTGGAAGGTGCAGGGCCCTCCCTCGTGACAGCAGCTCACCCCCGTTCTTCCTGCACAGCAGCCTGCACCCGGCTTCACAGCTTACAGCAATCTCGCGTTGTTGAAACTGCAGCCTGCAGGCTCGGCGACGTAACACAAAGTCGCTGTTCACTTAGGGCCAGTTCCACCCACAAGTTTGCTCTCCAGCTGAACACAGAACGGAGCTCAGAAGTCCTAGGTCAGGAAAGGCACTGTGCGGGGACGTCCCCACACGAGGAACACGGGGCAGGGTGAGCGGCCTACTGCTGTCCATAGAGAACAAACAGCCAATCGAAGGAACATCTGCAGAAAGAGAGGAAGCCTGACTGTCCTTTGCAAAGCTGGAAGCAGAATGACGGCACCAATTTATTTACAAATCTCTTGCAAAATAAGTCTTGGAGCTCAGCTTGAAGATGCTCAGTTGATCCCATTTATCTTCGGTATCCAAGTAAAATACTTGGCCTCTTATTAGATTTCTGTGAAAACACTTGGGTTCTAATCCTGGTTTTGACCCACAATAAGTGTGCTGTGCTCTCCAAAGCCCTACTGTCGGCCACAGCTGCTTCTCCGGGCAACGAACACAGTGAGCTGGCTCCCGAGATGCCGCCCTGGGATGGTCCCCACGCATTGGGGAGCTCCAGAACCTGGTTATACTGGGGTGCCTCAAAAAATCAACTTGTTACCCTTTCAAATCAACGTGATCTGCACTTTCTAGGAATCCTCTTTCTTTTAAAAAACAGAACTTGTTGTATAGAAAGAACTGATTTCACTAAGTTAACTTATACAGTTTCTTTTCTTTTTTCTTTCAAATACAAATTCATACTTTTTCAGGATGCTACTTCAATCATATCACAAAACTCCTCTCCATTCATAACTAACTTTTGCTTCCTTCCTGTCACCTGGCATCCTCAGTATTGCCACCTGTAGAGAATCCAATACTGGGACAGCGAAGTTGAGAGGTGATGGTTTTCCCATACAATTATCAAGAGAAGGCATTGTATGATGATAATCCATATTTTTGGACCCACGTTACCCAACATCAACCCAGAAGTGTGGTCTGAGCATTGCCCAACAGGTGAGGACAGGGGTTCTGGGCAGTGAAAACGGGAATGGATTTCAAATGTAAGTGACTTGTTTGGGTCATTTTTTCAAATAATAACCCATTCATTTAGCTGATCATGTATAAAAACAAGAAATAAAATTGCTTCAATACTCATTCTTACAGTTTAACATGCAACAAGCTAGTAGAGAAAAGAAAGAAATACCTAGAGCAGCCAAATAATAGTCTAGTCAGAATAAAGGGTATATGAGACACGGAGAGAAAAACGCACAGAGACGCTCTTAAACCAAACCCCAAAAAACGGGATCCCATGTGTTGCCTTTTGGCTTACTGACCTTTGCTGAATTTGAGAGTCTACACTAAATCATGACATTGCCACCAGCTAAAAAGGACTGTAATCTCACATTTTTCCATAACCAGCCAAAATAATCAGCTCTTTCCCAAATTTTAGACATAAGTCCCAAATTCTCGTTTATTAAACATTGAGCTTTACGTTGTTTCCCAAGCACAGACTTTCCTTAAACTTTATTCAAAAAGCAAGTCCCAGGGCTGTGGGATCCACAGCACCCCACTAGGTGTCCCGGGGTTTACAAACTGGGGATCAGAGCACCTGGTGTTTGTACACACTTCACTAACACACACTTATAGCCCCAGCACGCTTCCACTTCAGGATAATCTGTCAAGCCTAA